GTCTTTAACTGTGTTTTCATAGAGTCAAAAGAACTCAGGTTGGAAGGGACCTCAAGCCCACCCGGCTCCAACCCCTGCCATGGGCAGGGCTGCCCCCCAACTCCTCAGGCTGCCCAGGGCCCCATCCAACCTGGCCTTGAGCACCTCCAGGGATGGGGCAGCCACAACTCCTGAGCTACGAGGAGGGTATTCTCTGCAGCTGGTTGGTACAAACACCATGGTTTCTGCTGGTGTATGCACAGTGGCAAATGAACCCGCTGAGCACATTATTGATTTTGGAAACACGTGAACTAGCTGGTGCTGAATTGGTGGCAACATGGGTTTGGTGTTTTTATGGATCTGGTTACTGCAATTTTCACGGTTTGTTTAATTAAACCCTACATTGAAATAATTTCAGGATCATTAAAGGTGTTTAAGCCGTAGTGACTTCACTCTGTTACTGAGCAGGTTCTGGTAATCAGAGTTTTTATTGTATTTGTGGTACAGTCTAAGGGAAATTTAGTTCCACTAATAAGCATAATTCCATTGCCATTTGAGTAATGGCAAGAATGTGGTGTTTTCAGCTCACTTCCGATAGCCCGAAGTTGTAAATACAAATACCTAAAGCTGAACACGGCAGCACACAGCACACCTTCCTCACAAGCGTGCATGGAAGCTGCGCACCAAAGTGCTGGCAGTCAGCGATTTCAGTTACTCCAACTGCCACCTCTAATTGAAATTTTAATTGAACTTTTAGAGATTTCATAGCATCGCGCAGAGCAGCTGAGGAACATGGTGAGCAACATGGGCACCAAAGCAGGCGCTCATTCCTCAGTAGAACGCTGCCGGTTGTGTTGCCCCTGGTAGCTCATTGCTGAGCTCTCACAGCCTCTTGAAGGCTCTGCAAAACACCTGCCTGTGCTGGGGCTGGAGGCGGCCACAGGCTGCACAGGCTGCCCTGTTAGTTATCCCATGATCCCAGCTCCTTGGACATGCCATCTGCTGGCCTGCCCGCCCAGGCCCAGCTTAGTCTTCTGTCACCGTTGGGTGCAGAAGTGCTTTGTTACCTCCCTCACGTGGGCAGACCAGTCAGTGTGTCCCTCCTCCCAGCCCCACACCTTCCCTCAAACCAACCTCACTACTGTCAAGTTTGGTTTGCCATCTGAACCTGTGCTGCTCAGTAAAAGCTCTTGGAAAGGGAGTGGAGGTCTCTTTGTTGCCTGACAGCATGACTTATAGCCAGAACTACTCATAGTGGTGCTGCTAAGGTGTGTGCACGTGAGCTTGTGCACACACACACACACAAGTAATTAATGTCTTGTGCTTCAGACATTTCTTCACCAGGTATTATTGATCATATGTTGTAGGAATTAACATCTCCATTTGTATGTCAGGTAAACCCAATGTATCCCCATTGAGATACTGAGCGTTTTCATTTCATTCTTTAGCCTGTAGCACAGTGTGGAATTTTCTTGGCCGGGTATCCCCATAGTGCTGAGCCCCACAGCTCCCGTCCTGCACACACAGGGTGTTTGGGAACCCACTGTGTGTGGGGTGTGTTTGGGGACCGTGGCATCAGTGCTGGGCTCACCTCAGGTGATGCCGTGCCAGCACAAGCATGAATGTGGGAGTCATGGTTTCCTGGACTGACCTGAAGCCAAGCTTGGCTGTAGGAAGAATTTCACCCCATGTCAGACCCTGAAGGACTCTGTGAAGTTTTCTCCATGCTAAGGAACCTGGTTCTTCACAGCCAGTTAGTTCCATTAGCCCTCATAGTAGGGAAGGCAGCAGAAGAGCTTGCCGTGAATGGTGACTTTGGATGCTAGCTACAACTTTGTCCTCTTTTCTCTTTGTATTAAAATACCACAATGTACAATATTATTGAATGCAAAAGCACTTTATTTAACCCTCCTCTCTTGTTTTATCTTTGTCCTGTCAGAGTTTGTAAGGAGGAAGCCCCTCAGGAGGGAAGTGATCGAGGCCTACAGGAAACTGAAGAGCACAGTAGACAAATGCCTGTCCCTGAGCGGCTACTCGGAAGTGAACCTCGGCAAACTCTTCTCTGTCAGCATGGGGAGATCCGTAGGAGAGTCCAGCAGTGAAAGACAGTGATGGACGGAATGTGGAAGGAGCAGAGGGGCCAACTACTTGCTTAAAAACAAGGATCTCCTGAGCAGTGCTCTGTGTCAGGAAGCACAATAGAGTTTTAATAATCTTTGGTTTGGTGGAGGAAGAATGAAAGATGAAAATGGGATGCATGGTCCACGTGGACGCGGTCCACTCGAGGTGTTTTTATCTCCGATTCTTTTCTCCACCGAAAAGCCAGAGTTATTAAAACATGGAGCAGTTGATTTTCACAATGTATTTTGTTGTGTGTTCAGACCTATGAGGGAAAAGGGGGTGGGGGAATTGCTGCTTTAATTGGATAATTCCCAGTGAGAGTTGCTGGAATGTAAGTGATCCTAGACTTTGCTCCAGGGTATTTAGTAGAGGTGCTCTCAGGAAGAGAGGTTAGTGGAGGTCTCAGTAGGAGCACTAATGTTTTGCCTTTTCACAGTTTATCTCCTTCCTGATCATAAACATACCAATTAAAAACAATGCTAAACCTAAATGCCTTTAAATGTCCTTCGGAGGGAGGTAGGGATGCTTTCCTTTCAAAACGAGGTAGAGACCGATTGAAGCCTGGAGGCGCAAAGAACAGAGGACCAATTTGTCTCTGGTATCTTCACGGGGCGTCTCTAAGCACGGTGTTTTGCCAGATTAGAAATGTTTTATGTGGATGTATAGATACATACGTGAGTGAAACATGTTCTGTACATAGGCAGAAAATAAACGTACGTCACTTCTTTCCGCGTCTGAACGCGAGCTGTCGATTGGGAAATGTGTATTTGGATGGCACTGTAAGCGCTCATGGGGGAGGAAGGAGCATCGTCGTCGCTGTTCTGTAATAGTTACTGTATCAGGGGTTTTAAAGGTTTTATGAACAAATTGTATTTTCCATTTACTTTTAGTAAAGCGATAAACACACGACAAGAACAAAGAGTAAATTTGGGAAGAGCTTTTGTACACCAAATGTCGTTGTACTCTTGTTTGCCGTTACGTTTGCCATGCGATGTATTAATGTGAGGTCATTAAAGCGTTCTTTTAAATCATCGACGGTATACAATGCAAAGTCTTCTTAGCACTTGATGGGAAAAAAAATAAAATTTTCTAGTGAAAGCGTTGGGTTCGGTCTGCCTGACTGTCGGCAGCTCCCCACGGGGGCCGCATCGCTGCGGCCCGGGGCCGATGGAAGGGCCCGCTTGCAGCCTTCCGTGTGCCTCACGGAGCGTCAGCGTTGGGCACGGAAGGGCCGTGCGTGGCTGTGCGGCTGCTGCACGGCTTTCGTTCAGCCCTGAGCGAGAGCTGCGAGCTCGCCGGGTGGTGCTGCGGACCTGAGGGGGGGACGGCGGCGTGAGCGTGCCCGAATTCCCGGAGCGGCTTTGGGGCCAAACCCTTCGGACTCCTCCCAGAAACGGCGCCCGGCCGATCCGTTTGCATGCTGGTGCCGTGCCCGGCAGCCGCAGCCCCTCGAGGTGACGCCCGGGCTGTCGGAGAGACTCCCGGGGAGGTTTCTCGGGAACGTGCGGCCCAAAGCGACGCCGGGGTGCTGCAGCTCCCTGCCGGACCGCTGCTGTAATTTCACTCGGACTTGGGTTTTCGTAGTTTCGTAGCGCTCGACCCAATTAGGATCGTGCAGATATCCCTGACGGTAACTGGGCAGAACGGCTCGGAGAAGCAGCCGTGACCCCGCGGCACTTGTGTCTACCGGGATAATTACGGCTGAAGAGCCTGTTAATTTGGGAGTTTAGGGATGTTTACGAGAGCCCGGGGAACGCTGCCGAGAGAAGCAGCGGCCAGGGGGTCGGGAGGGGAAGGGCCCTTTCCCCCCGTCGGGGCGTTTCGGGGTTCCTCGAGCGGCGCCGGGGCCGCGCACCGCCGGCGGGCCCCGGGGCTCCCCGTCCGCTCGGGCCGGGCGGGGGCCGCTGGGGGGTGCGGGGGGGGGGGGGGAGGGGGGCAGAGTCGCCGCGTCCCGGGCCAGAGCCGTCCGCTCGCTGCGCTGAATGGCGCGGCCCCGCGATCCCTCCTCATCGCTCTTTAATAGATTAACTCATCTGCGGCGGCCTCGCAGCTCAGATTAAAATTCCTCCATCCCGACGGCAGCATTATGGGGTGGTTGGAGGCTGTTTTCAAACCTCGGCGTTGAATAGCGACGGCTCTGCATTAATTTAACCACTAAGCTAATAAGTAGGTTTCGTTTTGTTATGCTAAGCTTTATTGCTTTTCTTTTGATCGGAATGGTGTTGTTGAGCAAAGCAGCAGACAAGGCGCTCTTTGATGAGGGAATTAGCGCTCTATTCTTCCTCTATTATTCATAGCACAGTGGAATATGTAAGTACCTGAGGGTGTCAAAGGAGAGCAGGCTCTATTGCAAAGTGTTCGCCTTGTTTCTCTCAATAGCTGACTATGAGATGATAAACCGCTTAATACACCGCGCTAATTGGATGAGAGCAGAAAGCGCCGGGGCCGCGGCGGGGCGAGGGGAGCCGCTCCATTCAGCGCTCCGCACTTCGGAGGAGCGCAGCGCTGCGCGGGGCTCCGTGCGCGGCCGCAGCTGTGCGCCAATGACCGCGCGGGGTAAATACGGCCGCCGCCTCTACGGCGCGGGGTAAACTTCTTTTCAGGCGGTGATGGGATTGCTTGGCAGCGCCGCGATCCTAATGAGGGCCCGCCGTAATAACCCCCGGATTAGCGAAATTGCCGCCTGCAGAAGCGCGATTCTGCCGTGAGCGGAGCTTCGGCTCGAGGAGTCCGAGCGGTGAATGGCGTTTCTTACTGCGTGCCGGCTCCGTGACGAACCGCTTTTCCGCATGGCAAAAAAAATAAACCACCACCACCAACAACGACAACAGCAAAAAACAAACAACAACAAAACGATGTTGTTTCGGTCTGCGCCGCCAAAAACGCCCACGGAACGAACATGACTTTCCCCATTACATTTTATTGGTATTATCGTTATCGGTATTATTGCGCTCGTGGTGGCTTTGGAGACCCCCAGTAGCGCCGGGGTTTGCAGTGCGCGTGTGTGCCCGCGTGCGGGGCTTTGCCCGGGGCTCGCACGGGAGCCGGGAGAACCCAGCGGAGCCGCCCCGGGTTGCGACGGCCGCGGCCGCTTTCGAGCATATCACCGAAGGAAAGAAAAGTAAAATAGACAGCGAAAATTCAAAGTAAAAACAAAACAAAATGAAAGACAAAAGGGAAATCGTTAAAAGTAAATAATAATTAAAAAAAGAAAAGAGCAATTACTACAAAGTAAACGATACAAAAGCAAATAAGAAAAAGGAGGGATACATAAATATAAAAGAGGAATGAATGAAGGGGGGGAAAGGCGCTCGGAGACGCCCGAACGCGGCGTGCGGCCGCCTCCGGCGCTGTGCGGTTTCATTTTTGGGTTTTTGTTTTTTTTTTTTGTATGTTTGTGTGTGTCCTTTTTTTTCCCTCTTTTTTCCTCTTCGCTGTTCAATACACCCGGTCGCCCCTCGCCGCCCCCCCGCCCGCCGTCGCAACGCCCGCCGCGCACGGAGCGCCCCGCGCCGCCGCCTCCCGGGCCCCCGCGGCCCCGCGCAGCCACAGACGCGCACACCGCGACTCCGAGTGCAACGCCTTTATAACATCGTCATCTCAAATATACAAAGCTCTGCAGTGCGTCGGTTTCCTTTCCGTTTTTTTATAACAACGCTATGTACAGAGTCGCGGCCCCGCGCCCCGGCAGTGCCGTTCCCTTTGGTTCGCCGCGCTCCGGCGCCGCTCTTCGTTCGGCGTTAGCACCGGAGACGGACGGAGGGGGGAAACGCGGCGCACGGCGCTGCCGCCGGGACAACGTTATCGGGGCTCCGCCGCCGGTCCTCCTCTCCTCTCCTCTCCTCTCCTCTCCTTTCCTCTCCCCGCGATTCTCGTTCTTAATTACGATTACTATTCACACTCCCGTTCGGTCTGGCTCCGCTCGCCCTGGCCGCCCTGGCCGCCCGGCGGCTCAGCACACCTCCTTCCCCGCTCCGCCGCCGGGCAGCACGTTGAGCTGCGTCAGCTGCGCCGCGTGCTCCTTGGCCTTCAGGCGCAGCGCCGCGATGCTGGAGGCGCGCCGGTCGGCGGCGGCGCTGCCCGGCTCCCCCAGCCCCGCGCCCACCGCGCCCTCGGCCGCCGCAGGCGCCGGTTGCCGCAGGAGAGCGGCGGCGCCGGGCGCGCTGCCCAGCGGGGCCACGGTGGAGAAGAGCCTGCAAGGAAGGAAGCACAGAGCGCCGTCAGCGCCGCGCCGACGGCGCGGACGCACCGCGCCGTCCGTCGGCCCCGCGGAGCGCGCGGCCCTCGGCCAATCGGCGGCCGGGCCGGCTGCACGTGACCCGCGCGGCGCCCAATCGGCGGCTCCCCCGATTCGAACGGGCGGAGCGGCCCCTCGGAGGGGCTCCGCGGCGCGACCCCGCTCCGCGATCCGCGCTCCGCGCTCCGCCCCGCGGAGGGGCGCCGCGGCCGGGCCGGTACCTGCCGAAGGCGGGGCTGATGAAGGCGGGGTGCCGGAACACGGCCGCGCCCAGGAAGGTGCCGAGGCCGAGCGGGGTCCCGGCGGGGGGCAGCGCGGCGGAGCCGGGCGGAGGAGGCGGCAGGCCCGGGAAGGCGGCGGCCGCGGCGGCGGCGGCGGCGGCGGTCCAGGCGGAGTCTAGAGCTGGGTGGTGAGGAGGGAAAGGACTAGCATCAAGGTACGGAGTGAGGGGGTGAGGTGCGGACAGGGGACCAGGGAAAGGCAAACCTGGGGGGTGTGTCTGAGCCCCAGCCTTTTCCCTCTTCCGCCACTTAGCCCTACGGTTCTGGAACCATACCTGCAAAGCCAAGAGAGACAGTGGCGTTAGCACTGCGCCGGGCCCGGGCCGAGTCCCGCTCTAAGCCCCGCGGCTGCGGCGGTATTATTTCCCCACGGAACGAATTGGCGCTGAACGCGTTCCGCTGCAAGGAAGCACTCGCGGGCAGCAGCAGCCGCGCTCTCTCCTCCGGTTTAAGGGAGAACGAAATTGTGGCCGCACAGCGCAGCAACGGAATTTATGCAGCGCCCGCAGCGCGGACGGAGCTCCCGGGCCGCCCTCGGGGCCGTATTTCACGCAGCTCTGTACGGTACGAAACAGAACCGTTCTCCAAAACGAGACAATACGGAACTCTGCCGCCGCTTTCCTCTTTTCTCCCCTTCCCCAGAAAGTAAAAGCCCCGAGCCAAGCCGGGCTGTAGCCCAGCGGGGAGAAAACACCGCCGGGAAAAAGGAACGAGAGGTTCTCGCACAGTGCAGGAAAGTGCCGCTGCGGCAGCTGGGGAGGCTCCCGGCGCTCCTTCGCTTCCCACCCGCGGCCGCTTCCCTCGGGTACGGCAGCACCGCTCCCGCTGCAGATGGGATCCCTGCGGCATCCCGCGGGCAGGGAGCCCGAAGGAAGGCCGAGCGCCGCCGGAGGGGCTCCGCTAATTCGTATTCCCTTCCCCGTGCCCCTCCCTCGGGCGGAGGGGCTTTCGCAGACAGAGCTATTTAACTTTCCCACGCCGCGTGCCCCCGGGCCGAACGCGCGGCTCCGCCGTCACGGCGCTGTGTGACGATGGAGCGATGTGTCAACACAGCGCGGGGCCCGTCTCAGCGCCGCTAATGCGCGGGGCCGTCGCGTAGCCGATGAGCCATATGGAATTTATGGCGCGTTATCAGCGCCCGATTTTAACTGTAGAGTGATTCGCGCGGCCGCGGCCGGGGCCATCTGTTCGCCGCTGGCAGCGGCCGCCCCGTGTTTGTCGTCGCCGTGGCGGTGAGGCGCGGGCCGGGCGATGCACTCTGGAATGGGGCGCAAACACCTCTAATGGCATCGCGCCCGCCATTAAAGCCGCGCGGCTCGTCGCTATCAAAAATGGGCGATCGGACGGCGTTAAGCGGCTCCTCGGCGGGCGGCGGGAAGCAACCGGCACTCCGCCTCCCGACGGCCGCGTTTGTTCAGCGCTAAGTGCGCTTTTACGGAGCCCTGCTGGCGACGCCGGCCCCTCCTTCTCACCGCTCGGCCGCGGGGGCTCCGTCGGGGGCGCGGGGACGGCCCGGCCCCGTCCCGCCGAGCGCGGCCGCCTCTCACTCACCTGCACTCGGGCTTCGGTCAGGTCGAGCCGCATGGCCAGCTCCTCCCTGCGGGGACAGCGCGTCAGAGCCGGCATCGAGCTGCCCGCACCCGGCCCTACGCCCGCCGCCCGCAATTAGCGCGTATCGGGAGCCACCTCGGCGCCAGCGAAGCGATCCCGGCCCCGCAGCCCCGCGGCATTTCGCCGGGACGGGTAACGTAAAATTGCAATGAAACCCAAACGAACGGGGCGACGCCGAAGCGTTCAGCTCCGCCCGCGGCGCGGGACCCGGGGCGATGCCGGCAGTGGATCCCCCCCGCGGGACCCTCCGCGCCCTTCCTACAAAACGAACGAGAAATCCGCGATGCCCCTTCGGACGCGGCGGGACAGGGCCGCGCCTGTACCTCCCTGCCTTCCCCGCAGCCGGGCGGCCCCCGGTTCCCCCCTCCCTTCCCCGGGGCCCCGGGAGGGGCCGCGCCGGGCGCTATTTTTACCGGCGGCGCTTTGATCCGCGCCCCGCGGGGCCGCCTCGCTCCGACCCGCGCGGGGAGCGCGAACCCGATCCGGGCCCTGCGTCGGCGTAAAAATAGCCCCGAGGGCTCTCCCTCTCTGCCTCGGTCCCCCCGCCCCGCGCTGCCCCGGCGGTGCCGGTACCTGGTGAAGACGTCGGGGTAGTGCGTTTTCTGGAAGGCCCTCTCCAGCTCCTCCAGCTGGTAGCTGGTGAACGTGGTGCGGTAGCGGCGCTGCTTCCTCTTGAGCAGCCCCTCCTCGGAGTCGCTGCCGGCCGACAGACACACGCTCTCTTCGCCGTCCTTGCCCTCGCCGTCCTCGGGCGGCAGCAGCAGCTCCTCTTTGGGGGACAGCCCCCCGCCCTCCGCCCCCTGCGCCGTTCCCGCGCCCCGGCGGGCCTCCTCCAGCAGCCCCCCGCCGTCCTCGCCCAGCAGCTCCTCCTCGTCGTCCTCCTCCAGCTCCTCTTCCTCCTCGTCCTCCTCCTCCTCCAGCATCTCCTCGTCCTCCTCCTCCTCCCCGGCGGCCGGCGCGGCGGGGCCGGGCCGCTCCTCGACGTGCGAGGCTCCGCTCCCCGGTTCGTCACGGGCGGGCGGCGGCGGCGCGAAGGGCGCGTTCTCGCGGTAGCTCTTGCTGCGGCTGATGCTAACCTGCGGCGCGTGGCTGATCTTCAGCGTGTCCCACGGCGCGGGACCGGCCCCTGCCCCGGCCGCCGCCCCGGCCCCGGCGCCTCCCTCCGGCCGCCCTTCCGGCCGCTCCCCGCGCGGCCCCGACGGCAGCAGCCGCCCGCCGCCCGGCCCGTACAGCCGACGCAGCTTGGGGGGCAAGTGCAGCTCGGCCGGCTCGAAGGGGGGGCTGCTCTTCGGGGAGCCTGCGGCGAGGAGAGAGGGTGCAGGGGGGAGAGAAAGAGAGAGACGCGGTCAGCGCGGGGAGCGCGGGGCTGAAATCACCTCGCATGGTCCGTAGAGTCCCGCCCCGTCCGGAGCTGCCCCAGGTGCGGAGGCCGCAACGGCCCCGGGGCTACTTCTATCCCGTGGCCTGGAGCTCATCCACTCTGCGTTTTATAAACCCTCCCGAGAAATTCCCGTTTTCCCATTTTTTGGGGGGGAATTTTGGATGCGAGGGATCCGTGCGGTACCGAGACAGCCTACAGGCACCCCCCCGGCCTCGCCGCAGCCCCGCTCCCCCCGGCTCCCACCCGGGTCAGGACGCTCGGCCCGGCGCGGGGCTCACCTTGCGCGGCGCCGTCGGGGGGCTCTGAGCGGGCGGCCCCCGCGGGCAGGCTGGGAGCTGCGCCCAGCAGCCGCACCTTGCAGGGGCTGCGGCGGCCCAGGATGCTGTCGATGCAGTAGGAGGAGAGCAGCGTAGGCGATTTGCTCTTGCAGTCGGGGCGCTCGGCGCAGCTCTCCTCGGGGTAAGGGCCGCTCATGGCGGCGGCGGCGCGGACGCCCCCCGGTGCCGCCGGGACGCCCGTCACGGGGGGAGTGAGCGGCGGCCGCGGCGCTCTTGAGTCCCCTCGGCTCCACGTGCGGGCAGCCGCCCCCTGATTGGCTCTCGCCGGAGGCCGGGCGGACGCCGGCACGGGGCGCGCCGCAAAGCCCGGCCCGGATCGCCCCGGAGCGGCGCCCGCCCCGCCCCGCCCCGCGCCGCCCCTCCCCGCCCCGCGCCGTGGGGGCGGGCGCCGCTCGGGGCGGCCGTCGGGGGCGGTGCGGAGGAACCCTCCTCTCGCCGTGCCCGGCCCCGCCCCGACGGGAGATCCGAGCCGGGTTTTGCCCCCGCCCGCCCCGTCCCTGCTCCGACGGCCGCGTTAGGAACCGGCGGGGCCGGGAGCGGGGGGCGCGCCCCGTGGAGCGTCCGTACGGCGCTCCTGGTACCCACGCGCGGGGTGCCGCTGCGCCGGTGAAGCGGTGGCCCCGGGGCGGACGAAACGAAGCCGGCAGAGCCCGAGAACGGCGTTGAGCCGAGGTGCTTTGTCATTTCCCAGCTTTTCCCCTCTCGTCCGCACAGGAGGGCTCAGCCGGCCCCGTCACGCAGCTTCGGGCCCCCCGTGGCAGCTCCGCACCCAGGCGGCTCTTCCCGAGGGCGGGCGGGGGGCAGCTCCATCTCCCCACCGTAAGCGGAGAGACGGCAGAGTCCCGCGGCTCCCGGTCCCCGAATCAACGCAAATTGGAGAGGAGAAACAAAACAAAAAAAAAAGAGCAACGAACGCGTGGGAGCGTGCGGGCTCCGCGTGTCCTCACGGGGACTCGGGACGGCGGCCGGGCCCTGCCGGTGCCATCCGCGGTGCGAGGGGCAACGAATGCATCGGTTCTACACCTAAGAAAGCACGTAATAATATAAAAATAACAAAAGCAACTCTTAAAAGGAGAAAAACCCCGAGAAAAATCGACAAAACTAAAAAGGAACGAACGAAAGACAGAAAAGGGAACACAGAAGCTCTCTCGGCTCTCCCCGCACCGCCCCGGGGCTCCCGGCCGCCGTCCGCCCTCAGCGCGGGTCCCGCGAGGCTGCCTGGGTGCTGCCCAGTGGCACACGGGGTGCTGAGAGCTGCGGGCTCGCCTCTGCCGTGCCGCTCTCTTGGTTTATTTGTTGTGTGGGTTTTTGTTTTTTGTTTTTTGTTTTTTTAACAAACTTTCATTCATTCGAGGTCTCTCCCTCTCTTTTTTTCCCCCTTCTCCTGCAACCCGCTAATTTAACAGCGGAGCGCGTTATTGCAGTGTTAGGGGGCGAGAAACGAGAGGGAGAAAACAACAATACCGCAATGATCCAAATGATACAGTAGGATTATGGCAATTACCGCTCTGCTCGGAGGAGAACACCTCGCCGAGCACTGCCAAACCCACTGCCGCCGCGCAGGGAGAGCAGCCCGGGGGCAGCCGGTTGCGATCCGCCCGCTCCATCGGCCCCGAGCGGCGGCCCCGCGGCCGGGGGGTTCCGACGGCGGTTCTCGCACGAGAGCAGACCGCGGCCCCACCGCCGCTCTCAGGGGGCTCTCGCCGCTATCCGTGTTATTCGATTCCATTTATTTGTACGTTCGGGCACGAGGCGCCGGCCTCCGCGCCGCTTCCCCGCGGCAGCCTTGGGCCGGGGCGGCCGCGCTGGGGGTCCCAGTACCGTGGGCAGGAGCCGGGGGGGGGGGCAGCGAGAGGCACGGCCTCTGGTGGGCCTCGGCTCGGGCCGCTTACATCATCATCACCACCATCATCATTATTATTGTTAATATGATTACCGTTCATATTATTGTCAATATTTGTTTATTATATTTTTTCCCACTCCCTTCGCCATGAAGAAGAAAAACGACAACTTTTCAACCCCCCCCTCCATCCCCCCTTCCCCAACCCCGTGCCTGGGTTACCGCTCTCCATACTATGGAAGGAATGGTTTGCCCTTGAGCCGCCGGCACGGCCTCCACCCGTCCCGGAGCTTCAGGCCCGGCACGTCCGACACCCCCACTTCCCTCTCTATCCCTTTCGGTTCCCCTCCGGGGCTCCGCCCGCCCCCGGGCCGCACCCCGCGGGCAGCGGCGCAGCGGAGCGCCGCAGCAGCAGCGGCTGTTAGCACGCAATTTCTGTAACCACCGAGGTGTATTTTCGGGGTTAAAGCACCGAAGCTCCGGCGGGACACGTGGAGTCCTGCGGGCCTCAGGGGCAGCGCCTGACTCCCCGGCAGCGCCGCTGGCAGCGCAGCGCCGGCCTCACCCAAACGCTCGGTTGGGCACAGCCGTGCCGAGCGGCGCTGCGGACGTCCCCCGGGCCCGGCCCTGCGCGGTGCGGTGGGATCTTGGGGAGGTGGGGGGTGTGCAGCCAGCGTGTGCCGCCCCGGAGCCGGCGATGCCGCGGCTCACCGGGCTGCTCGCGGTGCTGAACGCGCCCTGCTTGCTGCCGGCTCCTACCCCATACATCGGATAAGCTGTACCCGGCGGTGCTCGGGCATCGCGTCCAAACCGCCGTGCAGGGCGACGCGAACCCTCGGCGGCTCGCGTTTCCCACCCGATGTTGCTTTCCTTGGGTCCCGCCCGCAGTGCGTTGCTCACAGCCGTCGGAACCGGCCCGACCTCGGCCGGCGTCGTGCGGCATCAGCGCTGCGGTGCCCGGCCCAGCCCCGGCTCCCGTGCTGTGGTTGCCAGGGCAGGTAGCAATTTCCCTATTGACATACATCTGGGCAGGGGCGTGCTGTCGGCAGTGGTGGTCACTTTGGACTCATTATTCTTAAACTTAGTATTTCGTCTGTACCCAGGGCTGGGGAGAGGCTGGGCCTTGTTCCATGTGCTTCATTCAAAAAGTGTTTTCTACATCCTTTTTTTTTCTTTTTCCCCCAATCATTTTTCGATTCCTTGCCAGTTTACCTTCCCATAACACAGCTCTCATGGCTCACAAGGCACAGCAGCGAGCTGAGCGGAGTTCACCTCTTTCTTTATTTCCCCTCTCCACTGTGACCCCCTGCCCACCTCCAGCCCTTCAGCCCCGTTCTTGCTGTGCAGGCCTCCTTCCACACCTCCTGGTCGCATTCCGGCTGTCACCTGGAGGGCACCAGAGGCTCCCGAGGCCTTTTGGCAGCCCCCGGCTTTCCCACCACCCCTTCCCACCCACTCCCGTGTGCCCCCCGTGGCCTTGATCGCAGCGCAGGCCTTGCAGGCTCTGAGGGCTGTCCCAGGGGTCCCACAGAATCATAGAATGGCTTGGGTTGGAAGGGACCTCAAGGATCATCAAGCTCCAACCCTCATCTTGGCTGAGCGTGAGTTCTTGGGCTGCGTGGGAGCTGTGTGGGGCTGTACTCCCTGTCCTGGCTCTTCCAGGATGTTGGTGATGGGTGGGGGTTCGGCTCTTCCAACCCCAGCAAACCCCTGGATGAAACCTCCAGCAACTTCATGGCAGCAATCTGCAGCATCTCAGGGAAATTATGAATGCGTTCAGGTGCAGTGGTCTAAAAAAATTAAAATGATGATCATAGGCTTATTTAACATTATACCTTCTGTGTTATTTTCTTTTGTATGTGCTGACTAGAACTGAGCAAAGGATTCATAACAAATAATTTATTTGTCAAACGCATTCTCTTCTGCTAGTGGAATATCCATGAGCAGAGCATCATTTTCTCAAATGTGTTTGTTTTCTGCGACGCTTCAGTGGTTCCTTTAAATGCATACCGGTGTGGCCTGGCTGCAGATGGTTCCCATGGTGGAGCTGCAGGGCTGGCCGATAGCGTGGCTCCGACCACTCTGCCCATGCTAACAAGCACCTTGCAAAGTGGGTTTTCTGCTGGTGCTCGTGCCACAGGAACGTGATCCAAACGGCAGAGAGGATGTGAGCAGTGCTGAAGCAAAGCCATTAAAAATTCAAATGAGCGCTTGGCGAGCAGAGGACACTTTCCACCCTGTCCTCCCGGCTGCAGTGCGACCTTCATGCTGTGCTGGAGCTGCTGGCGGAGCTGAAGCAGAGGAATGGCAGGAGGGCAGAAGGCAGTACGCTGGTGCTGGGCAGCAGCTCCTGCACCTGCTTGGCCCAGATGCACAGCCAAAGTGAAATGGGGTGGTGGAGGGAAGGTCACCAACTGCACGAGTCTCAGTCAGATCTCGCCCCTTGACACTCTAGCCCTGTAAGAGTGTTTGTTGTCATTGTTTCCTGCATGTGCAGAAGCCATTGCCTCCTCCTTACTGAGGGTGCATCACTATGCCATAAAGGTACAAAAATGGGCATGGTTGGGAAAAACCTGCACCTAACACTGTGTGTTCTTCATGGAGGCTGATGCTTGCTGACGCATGGAGCGATTCCCTTGACAACCCCCACGTTAAGGGGCTGTCTGTCAGCACCTCTCTGCTTCTTTTGGTGCTGGCACCTCTGTGTGCAGCCTGTCTGGCACAAACTTCATGGGGACTGCTGGCAAACACTCAGTGCTGCAGCATCCCCATGCAATTCTCCAGAGCTCTCTGCTTCGTGCCCCACATCTCTCCTAATGGAAGGTCCAACTGCCTGTAATGTGCTCTGTGCTGCTCTGCAGGAAGACAGATGCTTTACGAGAACAGCTGGTGCTGTGCTGATGGAATGGATGTCTCACAGGTGTGACACTGCTGGGTAGGACATAACAGGCATGTCTTGAACACCCCGGGGCAGTCGTGAGAGCAGCTAACAGCAGCAGGGCACTTGGCAATGGGTGGCAGAAAGAGATGCTTCTGAGATACCCAAATCAAATAAACTAAAATAAGAAGATAAAAAACAAGAGAAAAATTTGATGTTTTGAAACAACCACGAGTGGAGATGAGTTCTTAAACACTTCTGTGATAGAATTTGCCTATGGAAGCACACAAGAGCTATGGCAGCAGGTGTGTATGGTGCTGTAGGACAGTGTGAGTGGATTGATGTAGAGCAGAGCATTTCCTTCCAACCTCAGAGGTTTTTCTTAACCGAAAAAAAGAACCTTAAAATTTGATTGTAAATTGGCTGAGCGATTCAGACAGCTGCAATTTGTTGGATTTTAAGTTTTCCACTCAAAAACAAACAACAACAAAA